ATCATGTTGCAATGTGGCCACCAGTCTAGGTGACTCGACACTGCTGGCACTAGGTATTGAGATTTAGATGGTGGTCGGAGGTAGTCAACAGAAAACCCTGGATCCAAGTTTCGTGCTACTTGACACTTGTCAGAAAGGTATTCCTGTAATCTTGAGGGAACTGGTGCTCCCTGGCGGATTCGATCTCATGTCACCCAGCTTCACAGTCAGAGACGTAACCACTGAGCTATCCGAGCCGCGACCGACCTCCTGTAGGACTGAGATATAATCACAATTGATTGATCATTGGGTAGGGATCAATGTCATGTGTGTCTAGTCCTTATTAGTGCAGATCGAATGGGTAGACAGATTATTATTATTATTATTATTATTATTATTATTATTATTATTATTATTATTATTATTATTAATGATAGATAAAATCGCACTAAATTTAAACTGATTACGTTAACTAAGTCAAATATACAGATTAACATGAAGAAATACTAATTTTTTCTCATTTCAGTGTATCTATCACATTGAATTGTTTAGTTCCCTTGTAAGATAATATTTCATATCATTAATAGTTTTTTTCAAATAAAAAAACAAATCATGTTTTTCAAGTGAAAATAATATTATCAGAAGGGGTTTGTGGAGATTTTAGAAATTTCACAGATTGAAATCATGAGTCAATTGAAGCTAGACCACCATGGAAAACCTCGAAGCATGGTGGTCTAGCTTCAACTGATTCATGATTTCAATCTGTGAAATTTCTAAAACCTCCACAAAACTCATTCTGATAATATTCGTCTGCTCACTAGTGACTAACTTCAAGAGATACTCTAGAGTTCTAATGAGAAGCCGTTACCATTAGAGTTCAACCAGGTCTGTTGCGAGATATCAGCTCACTGAAGACAATGGTATACGGTAGCACAACTTCGTTGATTGGTTGAAGTTAGACATTAACACCATTGGATGCCGGCTCAGTGTTCTAGTTGGTTAAGCGCTTATCGCAAGAGTGATAAATCCTGGGTTCGAATCTCGCGGGGTACGGGATCATGGACGCGCACTGCTAAGGAGTCCCATACCATAACGAAACGGCCGTCCAGTGCTTCCAAGTTTTCTATGGTGGTCTAGCTTCAATTGCTTATGGTTTTAATCTGTGAAAATAATATTAAACAGAGAAAAAAACCATAAAATAGTTATTATGAAACATTTGAAATTATTATTATTATTATTACTTCAAAAATAAAAAAAGAAACCAGTTCACCATAATGCACATTCCTTTTACACAATTCATTATTTAAAAAAAAAGGTGAAAGATACAAAATTATTTTTTTCAGGTTACATAATTTAAAAAGAAAAAAAAGGTATGAATCTCAAATGATCTTTTATAAAATAAAACTCCTTATAGACGATGTTTACTCTTCATTTTTTTTTCTCTCTAAAGTTTACTTCAATCCACCTAAATCTTTATTTTTTTGAAATAAAGAATGTATGATGATGAATTTTGTTTTTGTTGTTTGTTTGTTTGTTTTTAAAAAGAAAATTATTATTATTATTGATTTTTCAGATATTTTTGTTGATATTTTGATTCCTAATTTGCTGAGTTTTTTTATAAGAGAAAAAACAAAACAAGATAATTTAGTTTATTAATTAGTTGTTGAAAATAAAATGTTTGAAAGAAACGTTTTTTTTCATTTTTGTTGTTGTAGTCATAGTAACACAATGATTTATTTCAATTATGTATTAATGTATTTAGTTCATTTTATCATTGTGTTTTTATTTATTTATCGATAGTAACAGTAAGTTTGATCACTTACAATGTAGATTTAGTTAAAAATGTATATTTGAATTAAATTATCATACCATATTAAAATAATGAAATGAAATGAATAAGACGAATAATAAATAAATCAAAATCATGTAGTAACAATAATAATGAAAAAAAGAAAATTTGATTTGAAATGATAGAATCAAAAGTTTCGCATGATAGAAAAACTAGTCTAGAAGAGAATTTTTCTTTGAAAAATGGATGTATCTATGCAACTGCAATTAATTCTGAGTTATTTCATTCAATAATATTAAATCAATGATAGTTTTTATCATGAGAACGACAACCAAGTATTTTGCATCTGTTAATATAATATCAGAAACTGAAGTCACGTTCTGTTTAAGCTGCCTCTAGACTTTTTCAAAACTAGTTTTACATTAGCTAATATAAACTGTCGAGGTAGACAATAGTCGAGGATATGTTGCACTTGTTTCAATCACATCAGTCAATGAAATCTCACAACCTCACAAACCAATTTTCTATCTTTATCCAGTATTCTATTTCTAACTTTAACATTGCTCACTTGATATTCACAACACACAAGACACCTATGAGTAAGTAATAGAAACCTACGAAAATCTAATATTAAAGGTCACATTTCGTAGACAGAAATTAAAACAGAACGAACTGTAACGTAGTATACTTGACCTTTAGTTACCAGATAGATATCTTATGCCGCGAGTGAATAACTTAACTATGGTAAATTAAGCTCTCTGAATCCGTTTAGAGATCTTATCGAGCATCGATCAATCAGGGTTTTGACCTCTAAATAAGTGAATTGGTTGATGCATTCAACTACTTCACTATGTTACCAGTTGAGGCATTGATATAAATTAGTCCTGGAGTAATATTTCCCATCTGAAGAAAGAAAATCTCATCCCACAGATGCTTGCGTTTTTATTTAAGGAGATCAGAAGAATCTACGTTTTCTCAGTGTCTTTACTAAATAAGACTATTCTAAGCAGATAATCGAACCTCCACATAGGGAGTCGACTCATAGAAATTTAAGTGATTTATAGAAGTACACCTACGGGGCAACTTAGTAAAAAGGGGACAGTAGATAACCCCGACAAACGTACTTAAGGTTGACAGTCATTGTAGCAATTAACCACAAGCTTTTAATGAACGAGGAGTGTTTGAACAGAGACCCTTCACAAAGTTTAAGTATTTCTTTTCTACGCCTCATAATTTCAAACACTGCTACAGGACCTAATTTGATTAAAATTTCATTCTAAACGTAATTCGGTTAGAAAACCAAGAAGGACCTGCACTCCGAAATTTATGCAATGTCATGGGATTTTTTACATATCCCAACAAATAAAATGCTGCCCCCAAATGCCCTAGTACGGCCGAGAGTGGGGAGAGTCCGCTCTCCCTCTCGAAATACTCTCACACGGCCACGCGTATATAGCCCCTGCTAGGGAAGTCCTACTCATTGCCTTCTCGTGGCGGGGGTGTTGTTTACGAAAATGAGAGGACGAAAAGCGAATGTCCGGCGCTTTAACCGGATTCCAAACCAATGGTGCACATGGGCTCCAGTATCCTGCGGGAACAAATGGCGAATGAACCAATTGTTGGTCACCGGCTTTCATGGGACTGCATCTCCTTACGATGCTGCACTGCCTTGTGGATCAGACCTTCAGGTCGAAGGCTCGGGGTGTGGCCCCCTAAGAATACCACCTGCTTCGGTTTGGGCACCCGGGCAGTATCACAGCCCTCACACATATCGAATGAGATTTGTGTGGCGCATATGTATTTGGTGCCTCTTTGTACCATTATCTATGTGTTGAAATAAATAAATAAATAGATAAATAAACAAAATGCTGCCTATTTGAAGTCCGGTAGTACACTTTTAAGTCATAATATAGTCAACGGATTACTGTCTGATTCCTGACTTCAAGTTTACTTTTTCTTATTGAACAGCAGTCAAATAATAGTAAAGTCATCTGTATTCTAATCGGATATACAGAACATTCTTATTAACAGGATGTAGTCATTGATCATACCATGTATTTAATCATAAGCATTCATTCAAATTACATGACATATTCATCTGAATACACTTTGGTAAAAATGGGCACTAAAACAAACATGTGATCCTCTCGGGGGCGAACTAAGTACTGAATCGCCCAATGACATTCCGAATGAAGTGTTGAAAAAATTGAGTTCACATTCATGAGAGGGTATTATTCAGTTATTAGCGCGATCACCTTCCAATTGGACCACCAAGGGGTATCGAATTAATAACACTTACAGCAACTTGATTATAGTGTGTATATAGTTCGGTCATTAACAAACAACTAAGGAATAGGCTAACAAAGCAATGTGAAACTTCTGCATATTTCTTTTTTCATATATGTTTAGACTGTTCGACATATCCACGTGATATAAACTTTTTGATATTAGGCCCACTTATTCCATTTAAGATGGATTTCTTAGGCATTGCTATATTACGTGAAGGGGAGTTAATTATATAATTAGTTCAACAAAACAAACTTCACGATGAAAATAAGGAAAAAAACTGATCTGTGGAATTTGTTATTTCATTCGTTTCAATTATCCTTGATATTTTACGATATTACTAATCCACTACTCATAAGTACTCAGAATTATGCAGTAAATATTTGGCTATAGTAATTTATTGGTGTGATTATTCGGAAACCACCATCCATTGCCTTTTGAAAATCGATCCCTACTAATTTCTTTTTGCTTCACGAACTCTATGAACATTATAAAAATGAAGGTATCGAACCAGTTGTTTGAAACTATCATGAAAAGTACATGTACATGTTTAAATAATTGAATGTTTTAGTTATTTCTGTAGAATTTAATAATTGTAGTTGAGATTGAAGTGAAAACTGCCATCGGGAGGACTTTGCTTCATTGTTGAAAGTAGTTAACCTGTCAGCTTTCCTCAAATTGGTTAATTAATTAGAAGTAATCAATGTAATCTTACTTATTCCTTACAGTAGACTGAATTATATCAACGTTAGGCAAAACGACTTGAAAGTAAGCTGGTTATCATGAAGCTAATAATGGTTCCGTATTTGATTTTGCGACGCCACTTCTAAATGACAGAGTTCATTTTTGAAGGGACATGAACCAATCACTTGGTCATTATCAACACAGAGCCTAGTACAAGTGTGCATAGGCCCAAGTTGTATCATGAAAATACACAAATAAGATTAAGAAAACAAATAACAAAAGCTTCAGATATAGTTAAAAAGACTAAACATTCGGGGAATACAAAGCGGAAGGAATGAATTCAAGGAATAGCAGTTATGAAATAATGTTGGGACTCAGGGAGAGAGATTCCTAAGCTTTTAGCGATTAATTATGATTCGACATTAATTGGTTAGTTCGCATAATTATAGTGCTAAGTTTTACATATGAATGTTCATATTTACACAAACTATAAATTTCATACTATTAGTTCATTCTGTAAGAATGTAGTGAAGACTTATGAAACACAAACTGCCGTTTATAAAACTTAATGGGACGAAACAGTCCATATTTTGATACCTTATTGCATCAATGAAACCTTGTCACTATTCCCACTTCTTTATAGCTATGTAACACTAACTGTTATTTACATAAATAAACTCTATTCAAAAACTACTCGACAGTTAATCAGGACTTGGTAGAACTGGAACAACCAAAAATTAAGATAAAATAACACAAAGTAAATTACCAACTGAACAAAGTGTTTCAGTTGCATCAATTAAATTATATACAGTTTGTGAATAGCAGAAATATATCGATGACAAGCAAAGGAGCAACTTAAGAACTTATTAACACAAAATTATTCGAAAAATAAAGTGAGGCACCTTCTAAAATATTACATTAGCGTTTTCAATCTAATAGATGGCTAAATAAATAGGGATGTAGATATCCAGCTTCACCAAACTGACAAAAATATGGTATAATGATGCACCACAAATTCTGGCAGAACCTCAAGGTGCATAATGAACAATTTTATCGCAGTAAGCTTTGGAAAGAATGAAGATCAAAAATCAACACAAGTGTTTTAACGTAAACGAAAGTTTATAATTACAAGGTACAGTGATGCTGAGGAAGCAACTTTTGGGACAGATTTTTAGTACAAATAAACCTAAGTCAGCAGTGGAAGTACAGTGTATTGGGTGCTTGAGCAGTCTATTCGCTAAAGTCAAGATCAAGTGAACAAGAGAAAGACAGTCGTCTATACATCACAAATAATAATGGCATTGAATTCACTGAAAACTGGAAGGAACACCTAGCTGCTGAATCAACCGTTCAATGTACTTTTGAGAAAAACTATCTAGTAACTGTCATTTAAATTAGCAGGGTTATCATGGATTCTGTCTGGTTTGTTATTCGACATTTCGGAAGGCGATTCTTCGTCAATTTTCTGAAAAGATTCACACTCATTGAAGTTTGAAGGAGTTGATTCTGGTGAAGAGCGACTGGCAGTAAAATGAGGTTTTTGTTTATTACGCATACTTTCAAGGTATTCACGTCTGGACTGTTCCATAACCATAGCAACCAAATCATCTTCCTCCATTCCTGTGAAAACATAAGCAAAAATATTCTCAAGAAATATAAAGATATATAACATTTTCCTACAAAATACTTAAATTATGCTGTCTACGGGAATATAAATTCCCAAAATTGCGCGAAAATATTTAGAAACATAAGTACTAGAATTTCATCCTCATAATTACAAAATATTAATAGAACATGGCTAAGGTTTTATTGTTCCAAAGTACAAAACTTGATGCAATTAAGTGGTAAGAAAGCCTCTACAAAGCAAAATGGCAGAACAATTGACACTGAAGAGTACTGATATATCTGAGGTGGTTGGACTGACAATTTGATCACGAAACCAAGTAGAATTCAGAAGACAGAAACACTTGTTGGCTGAGTATGTAGAAATATATTAGGGAGCTATATACATTCAGCTAAAATACTATAACTAGTGATTACTCGATAGTCATTTAATAAATAATCAAGGACAAAAGTCATTAACAAATCAACATAAAAATTGAGATAAATACTGGTCAGATTAAGTCACCATGTCAAATCACCTTTATAACATTTAGCAAGAAGCGGTCAAATAGTCGATCCACCATGTCTCTAATACAATCTGCACATTATAACGATAGATATTACTTTAAAAGTCGTTGGTAGCAAAATTACGAACGAATCTGTACAACAATGGTCTTACTTTAGAATAACAGAACTACATCACTAGCCCATGAAATCCTGGACTGGTCTGCTGCGCAGGAAAAGGCAAGTTTTCTGACGAGAGATTAATTGAGGATCTTAACTGACAGGTCGAAATTGATATGGGTGCATATATCCACTACTCAAAACTTGAAGCTTAATGTCACTTCATGTTACTCGCTTTTCAATTTTATTGGTTGCGTGTAAACTATAGTTCTTGTTTGGTTACCCAGCACTCCTGACATCACTACTGATCCTTTTTGTGTCGTGACTTCCCTTTACGATGCCGGGACAATTTTCACCGATATATTTGGGATACTTTTATCCAACCTAGTAATAGTTCTTGCACTGGGATGAGATATTTTTTGAGGGAGCTAAAAACACTAACTGACTGCCTAGACCGAAGTACGTAGGAATAAAATCGAGTCCGTGACACAACAGTTCATTAAAGTATATTGTTCCTATATATCTGTCCAGTTAACAGAACACCAAGTTTCGCATATTCTTAAATAAGCAGGTCAGTTATTTGATCAGGAAGTCACTTCTAACCTTGTCCTTCGAGGACTATGAAATTCCTCTAGTAAGGAAGTTACGCCAATGTATTCATGGCCCGTGGAAATATCAGTACGTTAGAATACTGTGAGGATCTAACCCAGTATAAATAAGTTCATCTCGAAGCCGCAACTTTATATGGTATTCATACTTTTAAGTAAACCCGATGTCTGTTTACATTTAGTGTGGAGATGGGTTTACCTTAAAACAAGTCTGGCATAAACTGAGGGATAATATGGATCCAAGTTCACACTTCAAGAAGAAGCGGACATTCCGTACACACCACGCAGTGTAAAAATGAGTTGAAAGCTAGACGCAATCAAACCAAGACACGACACCAGCCCATAAAGCCATCGTGGTCTGAAATATATTAATGGATGGGTGCAGTTTACCTGATTGGGGTCCACGCAACAACCGCGACCATTGGTTGAAAACTTTAGATGGCATGGAGCAGAAACATTTAGTCGTGCAGGTTCATCCACCATTTATCTCCCTCTCAACATCGAATGCTAGTATCCTTCTATATATACCTTTCCACTCTGCCTTTCCGAACCATACTTCGAACGTTTAACCTTTCGCGTTGTCATCGCTACTATATTATTTAGGTCTTTTTGCAGCTCAAGAACAGATAGCATTGTTTCAGTACGCCAACCAAATACTACCAATAAATCCACTACTGGAATTAGTGTCGACTTGACTGTAAATGCAGTTGGTTAATGGATGAAGTTAGTTAATTTTCAGTCTATCGTGTCCTGTAGATTTACTGTCCTGGTGGGAATGCAAATTGTTAGTGGGTACGTATGTCAAAATACTAAGCTCAGCCCAAAATTTTGTTACCTGCCAGTTTTTCACGATCGACTAGTTCGAAAAAAATGTAGTAAAATTGTTTAGAAGATTCTTTAACACTCCGATTTGAACTAGATCATATTTCTTTTACCCATTTGATGACCAGAACTGATGCAAAGTAACCGACAACACAGTTCAAGAGCATCATGAGACCACGAAGCATTGACTACAAGCTGAATTAGTGCGTATTACGAAACTTCATACTTGTTAATCATATAAACGACCGGAAACTTACCTAGCATATTGGGCGGGATATGACGCGAACCCAAATCAGTTTGAGAATGAGATGAACTAGGTAGCGGTTCATTTGCTGGATTTCTGTACTGTTTTGAATCGGGAACTGCGGCTTTTGATGAAGATGCCACGTCGAAACTTCTTGCCAAACCTGTAGGGAATCCGGAGGTTAATGTTACTTCCCGCTGATCACCATGTAGGTCCAGATGGCCGGGTGTGGAAAGAGAGTTAGCTGAATCCCTTACCTTCTGCAAGATCAGAAATTTATCAGCATCCAAGACCGGAAACAAAGAAAAGGGTCCATAAATCAATTGTTTTTCACAAGTGTCTATACACGATATGAATAAGTAGTTTGTGCAGAAAAACAATACAATTATGCAAAGACGCATATTTGCGTTTCACTATAGGTCACATACCCAATGTGGATTTCCTGCATGAACGCCCCTTATCTTAGAAATAAATCATAAATAACCAGTAGTTCCGAGTCCTTGGATTATCCCACCTATATGGCACCCAATAATTCAAAACATCCAGTATGGCAGAGAACAACAATCCATGATTCGCCAGAATAAGCGGACGGCGCCAACGGGCACTTAAGTATCTAAAGCCGGTGAATGGTCAAGTTTATGTCAACGCATTACTCATCGCGCTTCATGTTCACAATCAACTGCCTTAGTTTTATAAAGTAATCCACTTAGTTTCACTAGAGTCCAGTACATGGATTATCAATTCCTCAACTCCAGAATCAGTAGCTACTATGATAGCTTCAAGGGTTACATTTGTCGTTGAAATGGATCCTCTAAAATTCGAAATTCTTAGGGTTTTTATCTATCTTAATACGATATTTACATAACAACTGGTAATTTTGTCGCTACCTTAATTGTGATGCACACTTCGTATTCAACTGGATGTCGGCAACACTAAGTTAGAGTGGAGTTTATTACTATAAACAAAACGTGACATAGCTGTTTTGTCTGCATAGTTCCAGCACGTACCGTCGCTGTCCTGTGTGCATTTAGAAATTGTATGGTTAATATGCTGGTTTACAGCAATACAACTAAACATCTGAGACAGATTCGCTATCCACTTATTTACGAAAAGGATGATAGGCAACTACTTAGAAATAACATACACTGAGAATATGTCTACCAAGTGTCAATTATAGCATTAAAACTTACCGGTACTGAGATCTGATTGAAATAATCGAAATAAGATTCCCTGACAGCTTGGTCTTCAATACACCGATTAATTGCATCCTGTTCTGTTTCCGCTAATTTATCACGTAGCATAGCCTCTTCAAGGTGGGTACTTTCAGACTCTCTGATTGCACGAGCAATAAGGTCTGGTTCAGCCAACTGAAAAAGGATTAATGGTATTATGGAAACATACACTGGGTTGGTAGTTAGGCATCCCTAGACCGTGGCCAAATGAAGGGTTGAAGGGATCTACTATGGAATTATAGTGGACACGTCCATGGTAGCTTAGTCTGATAGGAAACTCTTTAGAATAGTCAGCATGAAAAACATTGATGGGTTCCACCGAACCATGGTATATTTCGACAGGTCTGTTGTATAGTTCTGCGATAGCCTGGATCTCCACATGATTTCCGTAACAAGAAGCATCTCTCTTGCGTGATATATAATGATCGAAGTCCTCTGTCAAATACTGTGAAAAGTGCTCCTTGTTTTTCACCTTAAAAAAATTTCAAGGGAAAAGGAGTCGATAAGTTACCATGTAATCTATAACCTGCGAACGAACTAGATCGTGCTTCTCTTCATCACCGAATATTTGATGAGCTGTAAAATCTAAATTAAAGAATAATAACCTACAAACACTACGAAACAAACAAGCACCATCAGATCCCACCTTGATTAACTTCCACCCTTTCTTTTCTGCTAGCAACCGTTCAAGACAATCATCTGCAGGCTTAATCCCTTAGAGTACGGTGGATAATAGCCTTACCTGGGTGGGTGAACCCCTTCGGCCTTGCTTCCCGAAATAATATTCATCCTCACTGTTGTTGCCAGAGGCGTCATCTACCACATTGGGTTGAGGTATTACCTGGTTCGACTTATTTTCTCGTACATGTGGTCTGCATTCGCCAGCGTTAAGGGACTCATGCTGCTGAGATACTAAACGTTGGGGATGGGTGAAGGCCCCATGAGAAGGGAAAATGGATGCATCAATAGGGAATGGGTAGGTCAAGGGTGAGTGGGGAGCTTCAATATCTTGATTAATGTTGGGTTCGTGGTGAGAACAGCGGTGTCTATTACGATGAGAGAGAATATCTTTACGTTCTTCGCTATAAGGATACGGCTTATAGCCGAAACTATGTCGACTATTCGTAGAAGTCCCTGGCGGGTCTCTTTCAGACTTAAGTCTATCTTTTCGATTTTTTATGGTCATCCCAGACTGTTTGCAGGTTGTATATAGTGAGAGTTTACCAATTATATCGTCAACAAGATTATCCAAACGAGAATCCGGAATATCGGAGTCGTCAGATGATTCTAGACTAGATCCGCCACCAGATGATAAACCGCCTTCAGACACCATTACATAGTAGCGCCATTTCTCACTCGTCTGTAAGATGGTCAGTCCTGTTTCGAACTGCCGTAAACAAATTTCATAAAACCACAGAAGAACTTTTCCATACTCGCAATCGGAGTAGAGAAACGGAGAAGTTATGATGTTCAATGTACAACAACCCTAATGCTACCAATTGGACTCCATATTACAACGTTATGGATGATTTAACAGACATTCCTGCATCTTAAAAGCAATTGTATGAATCAAAGGATATTTTTGGCGAATATAAGCCACTTCGTAAGATACCCATATCTTAACATCACTGCTAAGCTACCTTTCCACATCTTGCCCCATCTAAAAGCTGCAGTCTTTTGTATAAAAAAAGAACCTTTTAGGAAACAACAGTAAAAAAAATTGTTTCAACACACCAAGTTTCGGTAATACACTAGATTAGCTTGTTTTTGCATCGCTGACCACGCTAAACAGGGAGAACCACTATTACGGAGAAAGAAATTGAACTCAGCAAATGGCTCAGAAAGGGTTCTTTCAGTGCCGCATAGGTTTACTGCAAGCCACTATCAAGCCTAGCCCGATGAACATAGTTTCTTTAACGTAAAGCTGACCTGGAACAGCAAAATGCCAATCAATTGTCTCAGACTTGATTGTTCCTTCGTTCTCATATCAGTCATTCTCTGTTTTCGTCCTCTTCTCTGTAGGTCTTCAATATTTAGTGCTTACTGCATTAGTTTTGTTGGGATCACCTAGCTGAAGACTCACTCACCCATTTTGATTTAAATGTGTTGTCATACTTCGATTATTAAATGTCACTGGTTAGGGTGTCGTCAAATTCCAGATACTTGTTAAAATTTTAGTGGTGGGCACGACGTGATCTAGTACACCAATTCGTAAACTATGGGTCTATCCCTTGTTGGAACATTATTTATCATTTTTTAACTTTCGTTTATTCATATTTCGATATTTTCTATATTTTCAAACATGTTTTCTCGTTCATTAGAATATTTTGTATTCATCATGATCGAACGGACTCCTAAATTATTTGAGATCAAGATTCTTTCGCCTCGCTAATTTTTACTGATGCCATTTCGGCCCAACAATATATGGGCTTGATTCTGCGGAAGCTGGCTTCCAGGAGCACAGCGTGTCAGAAATACATGCGCAATTCCTCAGAGTAATGAAGTCACTATCACGTGATTTCAACACGTGTGTCACACCTAGTTTGTTTACTATTGATGTCTATGAACATTATGAAACTTTAAAAAAGGCTAATCTTAAACGTGGAGATCTTACCAACCGACAACGGTCAGACAAACTTCCTAATAACATCTATCTACAACATAGTTCAGCAATAGGCGCATCCGACTAGGAAATCTCTGGAATCTTGCAATTATGGATAAATAACACCTGGTGACCGTTGGCATTATTTTCCAGATGATTGCAAGACACTGAAACAATGTATAGCAGTTTTGGCAGGGAACTAGAGCCATGAATTTTACTAAATGGCACTTTCAGCACTCCGTGTAAGGAAAAATTAACTATATGACTCATCTACAGGTAAAGGTTGTTTAATCGTGCCGGAACATTATCGACGCAGTCTTCAATACGTTGCTCAAACTTTCTCATCCAGGTGTTTGTGCAACCACCAAGCTCATAGCAAAACGGTTTGGCTGGCCTGGTATGAATAAATATATGAGGGAGTGTGCACGATCCTGTGTACGCTGCCAAAAATTCAAGGTGGCTTGAAACAATAAATGTCCTTCAGGCTCTTTAAAAACTCCCGATGCCCACCTCGACCCTGTTCGTCGGGGTTTGGTAGAACCCTAACCGGATTCAAATGACACTCATCTCTTGACTTCGTAAACTGTTTCACTAGATGGCCAGAAGCAGTGCTCATCAAGGACCTTACTGCTGAAACGGTGGCCCGTGCCTTCGTCAAACGGTGGATAGCAAACTTCGGCTGCCTTCAGCTATCACTACAGACTGTGGACACCAGTTCGAATCTGGATTTTTCCGTTGTCTGACTACACCACTGTAAATCACATGATTCTGAACGATCGCCCACCACCCACAAGCAAACACGTTAGTAGAACGATTTCACCGTCAGCTTAAAGCTTCACTCTTAGATACAAACGGTTCAGGGTGGACCGACGCTCTTCCACTCGTCTTACTCAGTATTCACAATGCAGTGAAAGCTAACTCTGGATACACTGCATCTCAACCCGTTTATGGGACAGCACTCTGACTTCTAGGAAACTTCCTGATCCTCCATCTTTTTCGGGGAATACAGACCTAAACTCCTACACAATCAGGCTTAAAAACACAATGATTTCAGTTAAACCTGATTCCGACTGACCACAATCAACTGATTTTTTCGTTTAGCCTGTCGTACGACATCGTATACACGTATTTGTATGTCGTGACTCCCTTTGACGACCCCTCGAAGTTGCATACGAAGGAGCCTTGACAGTCTTCCAGAGTAAACCTAAGTACTATACAATCGACAAGAACGGAATTAACGACAGCTTCAGCATCGATCACATCAAAGCTCCATATTTAAAAAGAAACCCTATTCACGTCGATTTTCCTTCGGTACAATAGAAAGACACGAGTCCTACATTTGCGATACCTCATTTGATAATCAACAATCACGATTATTAATATTATTATTTACAAACATCTATTGGGAACATAAGTGTTGTGAAGAAACAATTTCGGGTTTCTTCAAAAATGCAATAATAAGCAAGTTTCGATAATGTTAGCACTATATTTGCCATATTTGAAAAAGAGAATAATAATAATAAATCAGGTTCTGCGTGATTGGAAAGAATATTGAATTGAGAATAAAGAAGGAAAGGAAAAAAATAAGGGAATAGAAATAAGGGAGACGTGAAATGTGCAAACAGTTAAATGTGTGTATTTATGAACACAGAATAAGAATAAACGACTATATATGTATTATCAAATCAATAACAAAAATAAAATAGAAAATAATTACGAAAAAATAACTTATTATTGCAGTAAGATGTGACGCTAGAATAAATGTTTGTGCAGTCATCGTTTGGAGTAATGCTATGAAAGTCTCAATTAAGTGAAAAGGATAATAGAATATCAATATGTATGAGTCATATATGCATGGTGAAGATAAAACAAGTCTGAAAAGTTAATTTAAGTGTAAGACAAATTGTTGTCTTAATTACAAACTTCGTAAACTTAAGAATAATATCTATTTAAATGGAAAAAAGAGAAAAAGAAATGAACACCTAGTGATAGGGTTCAACTATGAAAATAATAATTGTGCAATGAATATCGACCTCCAAAGTAATCCTGCAATTAAAAAAAATAAGATGCGCTCGGATAAGTACATGTAGATTTATGTAATAGTATACAGAGTGAAACCGGATATTGATACAAACATTTGTGCAATAATAATTAAGAATGATGTTATGAAAGTCACAATAAATCGCAAAGGATAATCAAATATAAATTTCTATGTGTTGTATATATGGATGTTTAGGAATGATATATATTTAGAAGTATAAGAAGAGATGAAAAGAATATCTTATGTGTCAAGGGACCAGCAATGGTGATAATAACAGTAATTATTGATACGTACATAATCAGACCATATATTAGGATGAATAGAAATAAAATAAAATAAACGTGAAAAGTTTCAAAGGTTACATTTCGCTTTTCAGTCAATAAGATAGGTGACGGACCTTTCGGAAAGAAAATCATCAAGGAGACTTCTGTTATTCCGCCGGCTTTCCTGCCGGCAACGGTAAACATATTTCACATGATGACAAAGTGGTTGAATCTATTTCCCCTCGCAACACGACTCTTACCTTAGCTAATCCTATGAGTATTCATGGAACTACCAATTGCGATTTATACTCTAACCTGCTTCACTATGATGACTCTGAGTTTCTTATTCTTTCGTTCAATGCCCGCTCTCTGTCTAATAAAATTATTCATCTTAAAACTCTTTTATTCCTTGTAAATCCAACCATTGTACTTATTACGGAAACGTGGTATAATTCATTTATATCCGATCATTCCTTGAATGTAGATAACTACGTTTTCTTTAGAAGCGATAGATGTTATGGAATAGGAGGCGGTACAATTATCTATGTCCGTTCAGACATACAAGCGTGCAAATTTGAGGATAAATCCATTGATGCTATAGAAGACTCCACTTGGGTTACTGTAAACTGTGGATCCCAAAATTATTTACTGGTGGGATGCATATATAGACCACCTCATGCGGATACTAAGTTTGACAGATTACTAACAAACATATTTTCCATTGCTTCGCATCAACCGCATACTTTTAAAATCATCGGAGGTGATTTTAATCTGCCAAAAATTACATGGGGCTTGACTCCGGTACCAGGTCGATATAACAAACTAGTTGAAACATTAGAAATTTGTGGATGGGTTCAACAGGTCCGAAAACCAACTAGGGGGAATAATACACGTGATTTAATGTTCACAATCATCGTAGACTCTATCTCAGTGCATACCAGTCATGAGTTTTTTATGAGTGACCATAGAGTTGTATTGAGTATTATTCACTCTTTAAACGCCATACAATTGAACTCTAAAGCTTCAATGACGTACCAGAGCAGATATTTTGATCAACAAACATGGAAACGGACTGAAACTCTCATTCAATGTTTACCATGAGAAACTTAGTTTACCACAAATAATGTTGACATTGCGCTTTCCAATCTATATCACAACCTGATATATTGTCTTGACTGCACTGCTCCAGTTATTGGCCGTGTGGCTTATAATGCTAATAGGGGCCAAAATACTTTTAAAAGAAAGCTGAAGAAATTAAAATACCGCTACTATGAGCAGGATGATGTGTATGCACTTCAGAGTATACTTAAATTATTCGACAGAAATGCTTCATCTAAACGTAAGTATTTCATGAATATAGAAAATAAAGCTCTACGTAGTAAAAGCCCAGAATTATCAATACTTCGACATTTTAAATCCCGTGTAAAGTCAAATTCCCTTGGCACGACCAAATTCTTCATAGTTAACGGAAGCATTGTTAACGACCCGAATAATATATGCGAACAATACAGCAAGCACTTCTCACAGTGCTACAAAACTGGAACTGAAAGCTCCATCATTTCCAATGCTAACATCCAGAC